GCCAGCTCTTTCCTGTTATATTTTCAGTATGAGCTTTTTCCTTTAGGAAATTAGTAAACACTACAAATCAGGGTTTTATTTATTTTTTTCTTGATTGTCTAGACTTAAGAAAGAAATGGGAAAAATATTAATAATGCAGATTAAACTTAAAAGTATGTCCTGCTACAATTCCCCCCCTTCCCTCTGAGAGTCAGTTGTTAAATATTTACCAGCACACTTCTGATCTAAGGTACTAGAATTGGTACCCTAGGAGCCTTTTTTATTCTGTCCTTTTCTATCCCAAAGGTTATTCTTCTTGACTAAGAGGACAGAGCAAAATTAAGAATTGAGTAGCTGTGCCTTCTCTCTGCTGTCATTTATAAACATATCATCCACCGTTAGCAGGGGTCCTGGCCATTCTTTGATCCTCCTCTTCCCTGTAAAACAGCTAAAAAAAGCCTCAAACCCAAATCTTTTTTTTTGTTGTTGTTGTCCTTACCTCACTTCAGCAACTTTAGCGCATCCTAAAATTTAGATCTCCTGACTATGTTCTTATTGTGTCATGCCAGGCTTTTGTATTCATCCTCTGGTACCTGATGTTTTACTATCTTCTTTGTGTAGTTTTTTTTTAAGTCTTGGGACAACTCTTGTCCTTTCTCCTTATAGGTATTTTTTCACTTTTTGTCTTCAAAACTTCATTTTTGAGAGTTTCTCATCCCGTCACTAAATCCAGAGTGCACGTCAGGTCACATACAGATGTTCTCTCCTGTATCACAGTTCTCGAAAGGATTGGCCACTTCACTCCCACCTCCCAAAATCCCTTAATTTCCACCCTCCAGCCATTTCCTTCTTAATGGCGAGAATATGATCCAGATTAGAATCTTCCCCTTGTTGGTTTCTCCACTTTTTGAAGGATGAAAATATCATAAAGGGAAGCCAAGAAGTTATTAGCAGCTCTGCTTTCAGCAGAGAAAGAAATTGCCAGCAGATGTCCACCACCTCTCTCCCAGGCTTTCCCAAACTTCTCGTCTATTTCCTCTTTTCCAGGTGTCCTTTAGTAATTTGTGATGATGGAGTTATTTTTGTTTTTCCCCTCCATGATCTTTTCCCAGATGTTCTTCATATTCACTTTGCTCTGGTTCCTGGATTTTCTTACTTTTTTAAATTTTCAACTAATGTTTAGTAAGCACCTACTGTGTGCAAAAAGAAGATGGTGGTGCAGGTGCTTGAGGGTAGAGGAAGGAACACTATTCAAACAAGACATAATCCCTTCTGTCTTATAATTTAGTATGGAGATAAGACATAAAAATAGTTTGGTAAAGTAAAAAGTATCTCAGATCCCATCTATTCTGTTTATTACTTATATGACCTTGGGCAAGTTCATTCATCTTTCTAGATCTCAGTTTCCTCATATTTATTTTTTTTATTAATTTATTTTGATTTATCAGCAATCACTTCCATAAGCTTTTGAGTTTTAAATTTTTCTCCCTCTCCCTCCCTCCTCCCTTCCCAAGATGGTGAGCAATCTGATACAGGCTATACATATACATTCCTATTAAACATATTTTCACATTAGTGATGTTGTAAGGAAGAATTAGAACCAATAGGAGGAACCACCAGAAAATGGAAACAAAACACAACAGAAGAAAAAAAATAGCAAATAGTGTGCTTTGATCTGCATTCAGACTCCAGAATTCTTTCTTTGGATGTGGATACCATTTTTCATCTTGAGACATTTGGCAATGTCTTACTTCCTTGCATTGCTGAGAAGGGTTAAGTCTATCAATATTAATCATCGCACAACATGGCTGTTACTGTGTACAACATTCTCCTGGTTCTGCTCACTTCAGTCAGCATCAGATCATACACGTCTTCCCAGGTTTTTCTGAAGTCTGCCTGCTCATCATTTCTTATAGCAAAATAGTATTCCATTACATTCATATACCACAACTTTCTTAATATACTTAATATCCTTCCCCAGGCTACCGTTTTTTAATCTTGTAAATAAAATCTTGGGAATAAGGTACATGTATACAGAGCCATACTTGACATCTCTGTAGAGTTTGACATTATTCACCAGCCCTTCCTTCTGGATACTCTGGGAAGTACCTTTGTTATATTACTCTCTCTTGTTCTCCTTCTACCTGTGTGACCATTCCATCTCAGTCTCCTTTGCTGCCATGTCCTGTTCTATCACCATGGCTGTCCCTAGGGCTCTGTTCTGGGCCCTCTTCTTTTCAATCCCTATGCTCTGTCTTCTGGTGATATCATTAACTCCCAGTTTTATTATATCTGTGCTCCATATCCATCTAACCATAGTCTCTCTTTCTCCTGGGCACCAGTCCTGCATCACCAGCTAACTAGTGAACATTTCAAACTGGGTACCTAAACTCAACATGTCCAAAACAGAATTTATTATCTTCTTCTCCCCTCCCCCCCCCATCTTTTCCTATTTCTGTTAAGGACACCATTTTCCTTTTAGTCACCAAGGTTTGCCCTGGAGTCATTTGCTCTTCCATCTTCTCTCTTCCTCATCTCCTACACCCAATTAACTGTAAAGCCTGTAAAGGATTGTAAATTCTACCTGGACAATATCTTTTACACTCATCTACATCTACACTTACACAGATACTACCCTAGTTCAGGTCTTGGTCAACTCTTACCTTGACTTTTGCATTAGCCTCCTAAATGGCTTCCTTGTTTCCAGTGCATCTTCCATAATCTGACAAATAATTTTTCCAAAACATAAATGTGCCATTCCTCAAGAATCTTCAATGGGTCCCTATTACCATTAGAATAAATGCAAAATCCTTAGCTGAGTGATTATAACACTTAAAAATGTGGTGCCACATATATAACCTATATCAAATTATACCTTTTTTTTTTGGAGGGGGAGGGAGGGAGAAAATTTGGAATTCACATTTTTTTTAAAAAATGAACTTTACATGTAATTGGAAAAAATAAAATGCTCTTTAATAAATAAATAAATAGAATATGGTACCAGACTGCCTTTCCGGGCTGATTACATATCACTCCATTTTATGCACATACTCTTTGTTTTAATTACACTGGCCTCCTTGTTCCTTGAACTCAGCACTTCAGCCCCATGTTGTCTACTTTTTATTTATCCAAAATGTTTTGTCACCATTTAAGTTTATAAAATATCTCCTGAATATTTGAGTGGTATGGCACCAAATCTTTAGAGTAATTCGGGCAGTATTGTCATTTCTGCTGTATTGGCAATGGGAAACTGTTCCTTAGGAGATAAACAAAGAGTGTATCAGTGGGCAGTCTGACCCATGACATGACTATGTGAATTCCTAAGGGGAATGATCTTCCCAGCAGGGGAGAGGGTGGTTCAGGAAAAATTTCTGGTGGCATTCGAATTGAACTGTATACCATGGGTAAGATCTGAGCAGGTAAAAAGAGATTGGGCCTTACAGGCCTAGGGAACAGTATGAGCAGAGGCACAGAGATGGAGAAATAAAGGATATTTCACATTGATTGACCTATTCATAGAATTTTTAAAAAAAATGTTTTTTATTGTAAACTTGATAAGAAAAAAGAATAATCATTTATATAGTGCTTAAACTATGTGCCAGGCACTGTGCTAAGCCCTTTACAAATATTATCTCATTTGATCCTCACAACAGCTATTGTTGTCCCCATCTTACCATTGAGGAAATTGAGTCAGACAGATATTAAATGACTTGCCCAAGGTCACACAGCTAATAAGTATATGAGGATGGATTTGAACTCAGGTCTTCCTGACCCTACCCAGTGTGCCACCTAGCTGTCCCTATGTCACACAATAAATATGAACATTTCTTTTTTTTTTTTTTTGCTTTTTTGGTGAGGCAATGGGGTTAAGTGACTTGCCCAAGGTCACACAGCTAGTAAGTGTTAAGTGTCTGAGGCTGGATTTGAACTCAGGTCCTTCTGATTCCAAGGCCAGAGCTCTATTCATAAATATGAACATTTCAAAATAAAAAGAGGATTGTATATGAAACTGCAAACTTCTATTACATAAGTTAATTTTAAATACACATACACACACATACAATAATAAAAAAACTGCCTTGCTTTTCTATGCTCCCTTCTGAACTTTCTTCTGTTCTCTTCTATGTATTTCACAAAAATGTTTCAGTGACACTTTTTTTGGCATCATTTTCACTACCCATCAACTATTCCCTGTGCACCCCCACACACACACATAGAGGCTTTCCCTTGTAAGTAATAAGTATAACCAAGCAAAATAAATTCACACATCGACCATATATGAAGATGCATGGCTCCTTCTGTACCTCTAGTCCATCACCTTTCTGAAAGGAGGTGGGAAACATGCTTCATCATTGTTCTTCTGAAATCATGTTTGGTACAGGCAGCTAGGTGACTCAGTGATTAGAGTACTAGCTCTGGAGTCAGGAGAACCTAAGTTCAAATCTGGCCTTGGACACTTATTAGCTCTATGACCCTGGGCAAGTCATTTAACCCTGATTGCCTCAAAAAAGTAAAAAAAAAAGTGGTGTGATAAAATCATATTTGGTTATTGCATTGATCAGAGTTCATAAGTCATTCAGAGTTATTTTCCTTTATATTGTTACAGTTGTTCATAGAGTTTTCATTTAAGGACTCCCAAATATTTAACCAACTTAGACATGTATATACATATAATTTATAATAAATATATTAATATTTAACTAATTCATATAATATTTATATACTTAACTAATACACGTAATATTTTATGTATAACTAATTTAATTTATTTATATATTATATAAATTTTAATATATACATATACATACACAAATATACACGTATGCATGTGCACATATATACATATTAGCTTCACAATTTTAAGGATCCATAAATCAATGTAGGTATTTTTTCAACCAATGCAAATTTCAAATCTGCCTGTAACTTAGTCAAATTCAAGATATTTATTTGGAAAGGCAGACAACTTGCTCCCTCAAAGGTTTTTTTTTGAAGTGACCAACTTTTTTCATTTTATTTTTCAGAGAAATCGGTACTATTATCAGATCATTAGGCTGCTGCCCGAGTGAAGGAGAACTGCATGATTTGATTGCAGAGGTAAGTAGAATGAACAAGATTTTGCCTCAGGATTTTTTTTTTAGGCAATTGGGGTAAAGTGAGTTGCCTAGGGTCACACAGTTAGTGACAAGTGGTTGGTCTGAGGCTGGATTTGAACTCAGGTCCTCCTGACTTCAGGGCTGGTGCTCTATCCACTATGCCACCTAGCTGCCCCCAGAGAATTTTTTTTAAGTCCTCGAAAATACTTGTCATATTTTTAAAAAAAAAATGTAAGAGGCAGGGGAAGATCCTGGATTTGGAGTCAGAAGACCTGGATTCGAGTTCCAGCTCAGCCGGTTATAAGCTATGTGACCTTGTGCAAGTGACTTGGTCTACCTGACCCTCAGTTTGTTTTTCTCCCTTAAAGAACTGTCATGCAGATCATCTGAGATAATAAATGGAAAAACTTTGTAAACTATATAACATTATACAAATGTAAGCTACTGTTGTCCTGTAAATAAATATATATTTTCTAATAACACACTTCCTTCCTTTTAGTAAGGGGAGCCAAATTTAGAGAGACCAGCAGCAAAACTTTAAAATCAACAAATCAGTATTTGTTAAGCCTTTATCATGTACTGAGTACCACACTAAGTGCTATTTGGATGTTAAGGCACTTCTTGTCTTGGAAGAGATTACAGTACATTTTGGGAGGTAAGAGTAAAGTACACGTGAAATAACAAGCAAATAATATGGTAGGATATAATTAAGAACTAAATTATGTGATGCGGACTAATTTCTGTAGAAGTTAAAAAAGCTTTGTATTTTAATTTGTTTTAAAATTATATCTATGTATATGTGTGTATATGCATATGTATGTATATACACACACATAACAGTATTCACTAAAACTCTTGGATCTACTGGTTAAAAAGTATAATAACCATATGAATGATTGTTCCAAATCGGCCTGGTTTCAGAGCCAGAAGATTGGAATTCAAGTTTCACTTCTGACATAGTGGCTGTGTGACCTTGGGCAAGTCACTTAACTTCTGAAAATGGTTTTAGATAACTCTTAGGGACTATATATTTTAGTTAGTCAACAATCATTTATGTGTTAGGCATAGTGCCAAATACTAGGGATGCAGAGAAAGACAAAATCAGCCCCTGCCCTCAAGGTGCTCACATTCTAATGTGTGAGTTTTGTTGTTCAGTCATGACTGACTCTTCATGACCCCATTTTGGAATTTTCATAGCCAAGATACTGGAGTGGTTTGTCATTTCCTTCTCCAGCTCATTTTACAGATGAGGAAACTCAGGCATATGGGATTAAATGACTTGCCCAAGGTCATGCAGCTAGTAAGTCTCTAAGGCTAGATTTGAACTCATGAAGATGAGTTCCTGACTTCAGACCTGGCATTCTATCCTTTGTGACTCAACACCATCTTGGTCACAAGGCTGATGAATTTTTCAGCCACAGTATGGCTCACAGACCTTTTTACACTGAGTTCTAGTTAAAAATATTTCCATCTGTGCCAATGGAGGGAGTTTCCACACAATCAAGTCCCAGATTGCAATCCAGTTACCACAGGCTCTCAACCGAAGTGTCATCCTAAACTCCTTACTCTCTCCTCCCACATATCCAAGCAGTTGTGAAGTCCTGTGGTCTCTGCCTTCAGAACATCCTTTGGTTATGCCCTTTTTACTCCTTTGACATCACTGCCACCCTGGTGCAGATCTCCTCATCCTTGTATGCCTGCAGACAATTGCAATAGCCTGCTAGTTGACCTCCTTGCATCTGTTATTAGAGAAGTTTAATTCAAAAGAGTTTTTCCCACTTGACCACTTCCTTCATATCCAAGGTGCATTAATTTTGTCTGTGCAGAAGCTTTTCGGTTGCATGTAATCAAAGCTATCTACTTGATCTTTTGTAATTGCCTCTATCCCCTTTTTGGTTAAGAATACATCTATTAACCATTGCTGTGAGAAGTATATGACCTATTTCTTTTCTAATTTTTTTATAGTATGATCTTTAATATTAAGGACATCTATCTATTGAAAATGTGTTGTGGAATATGATGTAAGGTGTTGATCTAAGCCTATTTTACAGCAGTTTTTATCAAATAAAGGTTTTCTCCCCCCCCAGATAATTTATGTTTTCCACTTTACCAAACCTTGGATTATTGAGATTATTGATGATTGCTGCTCTATAATATATTTTGAGGTCTGAAAGTGCTACCTCTTTTCATCATTTCCCTTGATATTCTAGATATTTTGTTTTTCAAAATGGATTTTGTTATTATTTTTATCAAGTTTTATAAAGTACTCCCTTGGTAATTTGATGGGAATAGCATTAATAGTATAAACTAACTTTGTATAGTATTGTCATTCTAATTCTATTGGCTGTGGCCTGGCTATGAGCTCTGAATATTCCTCTAGCTATTTCGGTATTGTTCTTTGTTTCTTTAACGAACACTTTGTAATTAAATCTATACAAGTCTTTTGTGTGCTTTTGGAGATTGATCCCCAGATATTTTATGCATTTTGTGGTTATCTGGAATTAGGTTTCCCTTTCTCTGATTGCTTCTTGGATTTTATTATTGTTATATAGAAATGCAGTTGACTTTTGAGGGTGTATTTTGTGGCCTGCAACTTTGCTAAAGTTATTGTCTCAATTAGTATGTTTGCTGATCTCCTAAGATTTTTCAAGTACACCACCAGTCAATCAATAAATATTTACTATGTGCTAGGCAAACCAATGACCTATTTTCAGTCCTCATTCTGTTCGACTTCTCTTTTAAGACTTTTGTTGGCTTTTAAGGCTTTTAAGACTGTTGACCATCCCCTTCCATGACTTCAGTAACACTGTTCACTCTCTTAATTTTCCTCGTGCTTATCTGACCACTCTGCTTTAGTATCCTTGATGGCACATTATTTTTTTCCTTCCCACTAAGTGTGGGTGTCCCTTACAGCTCTGTTATGAGCCCCTTTGTCTTGCCTCTCTAGACTCTCTCCATGATACCATCAACTTCCATGTGTTCAAGCATTATTTTTACGTATGTGATTCCAAAGTAGATATATCACATCCAGTCTTAGTCTCCCTCTTGAACTCCAACTTACATTTTCAACTTCCTCCTGAATATCCCATAGGTATCTCTAACTCCACATGTCCCAAATAGAACTCATTCCATTTTGCCCATTAAACCCATCCATCTTCCAAAATCTCCCTGTTTTTCTGTCGAGGGCACTACCATCCTTCTAGTTACTCAGGTGTGTAAACTTGGAGAGATCTACGTCCTTTCTCTGCTGCTCACTGCCTTCCATCTTCAGTCAATTGCCAACACATCAGTTCTGTCACTGCGTCTTCCATGTCCATTCCCTTCTCTCCACAAATGGCCATTGCCCTAGTTCAGACTCTCCTCCTTCCTTAAAAATAAAATTTTGGTGTATTTCCTCTATCATTTCTTAACTGTACTATTTATAATCTGACTAATCGAATAATAGCAAACATTTATGTACTGCTTACTAAGAGCCAGGCACTGTACTAAGCACTTTAAATTATCTCATTTTTACCCTTACAACAACCTTGAGAGGTAGTTGCTATTATTTCCCCCATTTTACAGATAGGGAAACTGAGACAGACAGTGGTTAAGTCACTTGTCCAGGATCACACAGCTATTAAGTGTGGGAGACCAGATTCAGGCCTGGTGCTCTAACCACTGTGCTGCCTACCTGGTCTCCCTCCTTCTGGTTTCTCTGCTTTTGCCGAGTGCCTTCTTGCCTTGGGGATATTTCTGTCCTGTGGTCATCTCTTCTGATCAGTGAGTCTGTGGCCCATTATTTCGTACCCACGTGCCCAGGTGATGCTACTTGACTTCCAGAGTCACTCCCCACTTGATGGACTTTTCTGTCTCCTCACCAGTAGCGTTGCCACATTATCCTTCCTTCCCCATCTAGCTCTTCCCTTTCCCAATCCCTTTTATGTGTTGTCGTCCGACATTAACATGTCAGCTCCTTGAGGGTGGGGGCCTTTTTTTTTTGGTTAACTTTTGCTAATATTTGTATCCCCAGTGCTTAGCATGGGGACTGGTATATAGTAAGTACTTAATAAATGTTTTATCTATCCTAATGGGCACTTTATCTATCTCTCCACTTTCCAATCCTTCTTCCACAATTGCCAAATTTCCAAACACAGGGCTTACCTGTCATTTCCCTACTCAAAAAATCTTTAGTGGCTCCCTATTGCCTCTTTTAAAAATTATTATTATTTTTTGGGGGGAAGGAAGGCAGCTGGGGTTAAGTGACTTGTCTAGGATCATACAGCTAATAAATGTCTGAGGTCCTCTTCACTCCAGGGCTGGTGCTCTATCCACTGCACTGCCTACCTGCTGCTTCCTTAATATGTTTTAATAAAATACAAAATCCCCAACTGTGACATTTGGAGCCCTTTACAATCTGTTTCTCATCCACCTTTTTGGACTTATTCTAAGTTACTCCCTTCATATACTCCATATTTCAGCCCAACTGGCCTGTTTGCTATTCCCCAAACTCAACATTTCATATCTGGTCTCCATCCTTCACACCAGGATTGCACTCAGTGCTCCTCTCTACCTTTTAGAATTCCTATCTTTCTTAAAGGTTTCAGATTCCACCTCCCACACAGGCCTTTTCCCTTGGGGGCAGGATCTGTCTTTCCCTTCTTTTTGTATTTCCAGGGCTTAGCATAGTGCCTAGCACATAATAGATGTTGATTGATTGATTGATTGATAGCCTAGTTGTTAATACTCTCCTTTCTGAAATTACTTTGTATTTACTTGTCTGTGTATATATTGTATCTCCTCAGTGGAAGGAAAGGTAGTTGAGGGCTGGACAATTTTGTATTTGTCTTTATATTCCCAGCACTTAACAAGACTGTAATTTAACGCATGTTTGTCCAATTAAATACCATACTTATGGACAAAATGGAAGGATCTGCTGTTAGCATAGTTAAGCTGGATTCAGGGATGATTGACTAAAGGCACAGCCATGGCTGGGTTGATGTCAACTTTGAGATCTCTTATGGGAAGCCCTAGGGATCTATCTATCCTAGGTCCTGGGTCTATTTAATATTTTCCTTTTTTTCAATTAAAAAATAAGCTGGCTAATATCAACCTTTAAATGTGTTAAAATAAAACATTCTTTCTTCCTCTTGTTTTTTTCATTTCTTTTTATGTTTCTGGGTTCAGAGTGGTTGTATTATATGCCTGAGTTAGGCTCTGGTTTTCATCATAATTTTTACACTTTCCTTCTTGACTCACATACCCCACATCATTTGGCATGATGACCAACTCCTACTTTTTAAGAGACCTAGTACTAGAATAGCAGCAAGTGCTGCAGGTCAGGACTGAGAAACATTTTAAGTGCTCTGTGAGTGTGGTGCTTGAAATATGTCTGACTCTGAATATTATCAGTTTTTAACCTTCATAAACCCTGAAATTCAGACTTCTCAATTATTAAACACTCAGCCTCTGGGCAGACTTAGTAAAACAGTTCTAAGAAAAACTCGGTATTAAATGTTTTAACATTTAATGAACCTAACAATTTGAAATATCTATGAATTTTAAACCTTTGGGACTGAAGTTATCCCCAACCATTCAAATAAGGAAAGGAATTATAGCTTACATCTATGTGAAGTACCTCCTCGAGTTCTCTGTACCTCATGGGCACTGTTATTAATTAATGGTGTCGAGGAAACATCATGATTGTCAAATGCAATTGCCACACAATAGAAATAAACCTCTTAGAGTTGTTCCCTGGCATTTATGAACCATGTTAAACCTTTTTTAAATCTTGGATGTTATCACAAGTTCCCTTACATAATAAAAATAGCAAAGAACAAAAGGTCACTAGATTACAATTAAATAATAGCTTTTTAAAATTGTTTAAATGGCTTAATTTTCTCTTAACTAAAAACTATAGGAACATTTTAGTCAATGAAATGAGATCTTATGAAATCCACATCATTGGGAAATGAAAAAGTAATTTTCTAAGAATATTTTTTTTAAAAAGAGAGATAAATTTTTGTTCTGAATTGTTCTATCTTTTAGGATTTGCTGTCCCAAGTTTCTTCAAGGATGGTAGGTGAGAAAGTTGCACTCATGTTTTTGTGTTAGGTGTTGATATTAAATATTCTCATCAGTTTTTATTCTGAAAGATTCTGGGGAGATAGAGCTGCATTATTTTGGTGACTGCAGTGGCATAGCTTTTTTTTTTTTTAAATAGTTTTTTCCAATTCCATGTAAAAACAATTTTTAACATTTGTTTTTTTAAATTTTGAGTTCCAGATTCTCTCCCTACCTCCCTTCTATCCTCCCTCATCGAGAAGACAAGCAATTTGATATCAGTTATACACGTGCAGTCTTGCAAAACATTTCCATATTAGTCATGTTGTGATAAAAAAAACTCAAGAAAAATAAAATTAAAAAACAGTCTGCTTCAATCTGCATTCAGACACTATCAGTTTTTTCTCTGGAGGTGGATAGCATTTTTCATCATAAGTCCTTCAGAATTGTCTTAGATCATTGTATTGCTGAGAATAGCTAAGTTATGCACAGTTGATCATTGTACAATATTGCTTACTGTGTACAATGGTCTCCTGGTTCTGTTCACTTCACTTTGCGTCAGTTCATGTAAGTCTTTACAGGTTTTCTGAAAGCATCTTGCTCATCATTTCTTATAGTACGATAGCATTCAGTCACAATCACATCCCACAGCTTGTTCAGCTCTTCTCAAGTTGATGGGACTTTCTAATTCTTTGCCACCACAAAGGGAGCTAAGTAGTATAACTTTTGATGGTACACTTGCTTGCGCCTTCTAGGCTATCACTGCTTATAATCCTGAGAGATGTACTTCATCTAGTTATGAAGACAAAGAATACGTGTGAGAAATAATTTGAGAATTGAGATTATACAGTTAGGTGAGTACTGAGGGACAGAGTAAAGAAATGATCAGAAGGAGTTGGTGGAAATCCATCAAGATGTGATTATCAAGCACTTGAGGCAGGTTGGTTGTGCAGTAGGTAGAGGCCTGGATTGGGGAAGACATGAGTTCAAATCCAGCCTCAGACCCTTGTGGTTGTGGTTGTATGGTTTGTCCTTTATTCTTGAAGAGGACCATGACATCAAGGAAACGATGACATGACTTGCAATTGAATTGGATTTGAGGGAGGGAGGGCTGTGCAAAGGCACTAGTGCTATATAAAATTAATTATGATTATATTAAATATTTGTTGCCTTATTGAGCATATGGCATTTGTCTTGAGAATTGTTGGGCTGACATATGGAATGGTGCCTAGTAATAGCTTAATAAATACTTATGGATTGATTGATTGATTACTCCTGTTCAGGCCCACTAGGCTGCATGAATCCAGGCAAGTCTCTTAACCCCATTTGCCTCAATTTCCTCATCTGTAAAATGGGAATAATAATAATAATAATAACACCTCCCTCCATCCAAGGGTTGTTGTAAGGATCAAATGAGATAACATAAAGCACTTAACACAGTGTCTGGGAACAGTTGTTATTTATCCTTCACTTTTTTTTTTCTCTCTTGTGAGGCAGTTGGGGTTAAGTGACTTGCCCAGGGTCACATAACTAGTAAATGTCAAATGTCTGAGGTCGCATTTGAACTCAGGTCCTCCTGATTTCAGGGTCAGTACTCTATCCACTGCACCACCTAGCTGCCCCTCTGTGGTGACCACTTTAGAGCGAATATAAAGCAGGGGCAGGTAGGTGGTACAGTGGATAGAGCACCAGGCCTGGAGTCAGGAGGACCTGAGTTCAAATCCAGCCTTAGACACTAGCTGAATGACCCTGAGCAAGTCACTTAACCTTGATTGCCTCTGCCCCACCAAAAAAAAAGAAAAGAGAATGTAAGTCAATGAATCTCAAGTCAGAAGATCTATATTCTCTCTATTCCTTTTTTAGTAACTGATTCACAATTAATATTGCTAAGCTAGTCCATGTATGTGCCTATTGAGAGTTGACAGTGAATATAGCAAAATGCAGACAAAGTATTTGGCAGTGCCTGAAATGCAGGTTGAGGCAAACCACGTTCTTCAGCTTTGAAGTGTTATTTTCCCCCCTTCTGTTTTAATAAAAATAACTACAAAGGCGCTTTACAAATATTATCTTATTTTATTCTCCCAGACACCCTAGGACATGGGTGCTATTCTGATCCTCATTTGACGGACAAGGAATCTGAGGCAGGCCATGGTTAAGTGACTTGCCCAGGATCACACAGTTAGTGTCTGAGGCTGGATTTCAACTCAGATCTTCCTGACTTCAGGTTCAACTTTCTATCTGCTGTACCACCTAGTTGCCTGAAAGTAAAAAATATGTGCATTTTAACAAATGATAAATTGGATATTTAGAGAATAGGAGCATTCCTCATACTTAAATTCATGCTCTCCGGTTCACCGATGCCTCTTTGTTGCTGCTTCCTGTTTTTCTTGTTAGGGCACCTGAAGTATTTACTACCCAGTGCTCTGGCTGCTTCAGCCTTGGTCACTAATCTCCTTGTAGCTTTCCTGGGTTAGATTACAACAGGGCCCTCATGCTATTTCCCCTGAAGGACCTACAGCTTGCTGCTGCCGCTCCTCTTACCTCTATTATGTTTAGATTTAGGGTTTTTTTTTTCTGCATCTAAAACATCGCCTTTCACCTGGAGTATCACAATGGTCTTTTAATTGGTCTTCCCCTCCCGAATCTTTCTTTTCCCTTTTTTCCGATCCATCTTCCACACAGTTGCAAAAGTAATATTCCCCAACCACAGGTCTGACCAGGTCACTCCCCTGCTCAGCGAACTCCAGGGGTTCCCCAGTACCTCCAGTATCAAATGTTTGGCATTTAAAACGCTTCACAGCCTGGCTCCAGGCCTAATATACATCACTCCCCAGCATACCATTGGCTAGACCGTAGGGTTCAGCTGATCCGGCCTTTTTGCTACTCTTCCCACAAAACTCCATCTCTGTGCTTTTGTGAAAGTTGTGCAAAAGCTTTCCAATTTTCTATGATCCAAATTGACCTTTTTGTGTTTTATGATCACTCCTCTCCCTCTAGCCATCGTTGTGAAAGATACCATTTCCTCTTGTCCTTTAATTTTTTAATGCTATGAAGAAATGCATTCAAGGACCTGCCTAATCTCATGACACCTCACCCACCCAGCCTTATCTCCCTATTGCTCTATGTTTCAGACAAACTGGACCACTCACCGTCCTCTGTTTCCTTGCCTCCCTGCCTTTGCTTATAGTGTTCTCCAAATGCCCAGAATTCCCCTTTTACTCCCTTCCCCTCCTCATCTTTGCTTGTTAAAAACCTGCCTATCCTTCATGACTCAGGTCAAATGCAATGAAACTCTCATTTCTAATAATGTAAAATGATCTTTTCTTAATTCCTTTAACTCTCTGTATCTTGTTCTCTTTTCTCTTAGCTATTTGTCAGTCAATCAGTTAATAAGCTATTACTGAGGGTTTACTGTGTGCCAGGCACTGTGCCGTGCACAAGAAATACAAGGAAAGGCAAAAACACTTGCTGTCCTCAAGGACCTCACAATCTAACAGGGAAGAAGAGATGTGAATATTTGTGTATATACAAGATACGTGCAAAGTATGTGAAGGTAATCTGAAAGGGGAAGGCATTTGTAGCTGGTGGGACCAGAAAAGATGGGATTTAAGATGAGTCTTGAAGGAAGCCAGGGAAGCTAAGAATTGGAGGTGAGGGGTACAAGCATTCTAGGGCTGGGGGACAGCCAATACAAAGGCGTGGGGATAGATGAAGTGTCCTCCTTGAGGAACTGCAAATGGGCCCGTGTAGCTGAATCATAGAATACATGAGGGAAGTTAAAGTCTGAGAAGGCTGAAACGGTAAGAAGGGGCAAGATTAGAAATGCCAAACATAAAAGAGATTGTGAGGCGTGTGTGTGGTGTGTGTGTGTGTGTGTGTGTGTGTGTGTGTGAGAGAGAGAGAGAGAGAGAGAGAGAGAGAGAGAGAGAGAGAGAAATGGTTAGACCTATGCTTTAGAAAAATCAGCTTGTCAACCAGGCAGAGAATAGGATTAGAGTGGGAAGAGATTTGAGACTGGGAGACCAGAGATGAAGTTATTGTAGTAGTCCAGGGGAGAGGTGATAAGGGCTTGAAATGTGGTTGTGATTGTATAATTGGAGAGAAGGAGACTTTTTTTTTTTGCTCAGGCAGTCAGGTTTAGGTGACTTGCCCAGGTTCACACAGCTAGTAAGTGTCAAGTGTCTGAGGATGGATTTGAACTCAGGTCTTCCTGACCCCAAGGCCAGAGCTCTATCCACTGCACCACCTGGCTGCCTCCAAGGAGACATTTGTGTATGTGTCCTTTTTCTCTTACCAAGGGTAGGATGATAGGAACCATGTCTTATTCATCTTTTACTACAGGTATTTTCTTTGCCTCTTTCTATCTCCCCCAGCACCATACTCTACCCATAGTAAAATCTTGATAAGTATTTGTTAAAATGAAATATACTTTGTGTCATGTAAAGGTCCTGGGAGGGCTGAAACATCAGATACTTTCAGATGACCACTGAGTAGGTTTTGATTGTAGAAAAAGTGGTGCAGGAGATCACACCAGAGGAAATTACATTGGGAGATCAAGCCTGAGTCGTAGGGAGTTAGAACATAGAATGAGGTCACTTAAAGGAGTACACAGGAAGAAACCAAAGGCAACTTGCCTATTTTACAGTTTTGCCCGGGGATGATCTTAAACCTAGTATAAGAAAAAATGATTTTTTTCCACCAATGTAATTTTAAACATATACATACTTTAAGACACTCTACATGTTCTGCCATAAAGACTCCAAAACTTGGGATTTTCACAATTTCAGGGAGCTCTGTATCCTTTATTTTTTAGAAACCTTTCAAAAACCATAGAAGCTAGGTGGCACAGTGGATAGAGCAACAGCCCTGGAGTCAGGAGGACCTGAGTTCAAATTTGGCCTCAGACACATGATACTCACTAGCTACATGGCCCTGGGCAAGTCACTTAACCCTAATTGCCTCACAAAAAAAACCCCAAAAAAAACCAAAACAAAATACAACAAACAAACCAAAAC